TCAAAACCCCATTCTTAGTTGTTTTTTTGGGGGTTTGTTTTCTTTGTTTTAAAGCAGATTTATGTCTGGGTACGTTCCTACTGTCTTCACATTCACCACCTCATTCTTTGTTGTTGTTGTTTTTTTTTTTTGGGTATGTTTTCTTTGTTTAAAAGCAGATGTATGTCTGGGTACGTTTGTCCTGTCTTCACCAACTTATTCTGATTTTTGTTTTAAAAAAAAAAGTAGATTGTAAAAGAAAAAGACCAACTGTTTGACATGTTATTATATACCTCACAAATGATCATTGTTGCCGTGTAATGTGCCAAAGCAACCCACAGATAATAACACATACTGTGCTACCACAGTGTGGAGAGGTCTATCACATGACCTTGGACTTCTCTGTTGATATCCTCCCCTTGGCGCTCATATATGACCTTATTATACAGTTGCGAGTGCCGTAAAACCTAACTAAAACAAAAAAAACTAAAGAAGCAATCTGCCGATGACAACATGTGCTGTGCCACCTCTGTGGAGAGATCTGTCACATGATGTGAACAACAGGGAGCTGGGGGCTTGGGGTAACAACAATGATGTTTGTTTTGTTTTGTTGGTGTTTGTTTTGTTTTTGTATTTTGCCAGTTGTCGATAAACGGCGCCGAAGTATAACTATGGCATGGATATCCCCCCCCCCTCCCACGTTCCACATACCGACGTGGTTATTGTTTAATTGTTTACAGAATTTTACGGCTCTTGTCTTAAAAATACTGAAGGTTAGAGGTGTTTGTTTTAGAAATAAGTGTTGTTATTTTAACTGATTTATCAATGTCATTCTCATACTGTGCTCGAACAGCATGAGGGGAACTGCTGCTTTTTTCCCCCCTCATCCTGTACTATCGTCATTTTCCTCTACTTCTTTTGTAAGTTTGTCACTCTCTTGTGAACTGCTATTTCTGGGGTGCCTTGATAGTTGAAGCAGAAACTCTCTGGTCGAAGCAGACTTTGTGCTGTTGAGGCTAGAGCGGTGAGCAGAGTAAGCTTGAATTTCTGTTTGGACTTCTCTTTGTTTTAGTAGAGGTTTTAGGGCGCTTGCAACTGCATAAGGTCCTACGAGCGCTTGGACCTCTCTGTTGAC